AGAGGACAGGAAAGCTGGCGATAGGGAACCCAAGGTTGAGTAAGGACAGTGCTGACATGTAGTGAGGTTGTTAACCATTGTCACAGGGCAACATGTGTACTAACTGTTTAATGAGAAACTATTTGGTCTGTAAACCTTCACCTAAAGTACAATAAAAAAATTAAAAAAAAATAAAAAGATTACAGCCTTGGAAATCCTATGGGGCAGTTCTACCCTGTCCAATAGGGTTGCTATGAATTGGAATCATCTCAACGGCCATGGCGTTTTTGGGTACCATTTACTAAAATACGTACTTTTGTTATCCCCATTTTACAAATGGGGAAGCAGAAGTACAGGGAGATTAAGGAAACTGTCCAAAGCAGTTGGAAGCTCCAGCTTGGAAGTGGCAGAGCCAAGATTTGAAGGCGGGCGATCTGGCTTCTCTTCACCATTCTGCCTAACTGCATCAGTGTGTTTTAGGAACCAAACTGATTCTCTGATGTGCTCTTCTTCCACCAGACGGCAGAAGCCTCATCTTTATCACAACCTTCAGCTGCCTTTCCATCTTCCTCAGCTTCCTCTCTGTCTTCATCATCTACAGATGTGTTCCGAATGGTGAGTTCAGGAAAGAATGGATTCACCACTCCGGGAAGTGAAAGATCCCTGGGTGGCACAAATGGTTAAGCGTTCTATACTGGCTGAAAGGTTGGCGGTTCAAACCCACCCAGTGGCACCACGGAAGAAAAGCCTGGTGGTCTGCTTCTGAAAGGTCACAGCCTTGAAGACCCTATGGACAGTTCTACTCTGCACACATGGGGTCACCATGAGTTGGAATAGATTCAGTGGCAACTAACAACGATAACAAGGTGCAAATCACCATGTTTTCACAAAGTCATGGTATTAGTAGGTTCTACACAAGAGAGTCCTGGTGCAGTGGTTAAGTGCTCAGCTGCTAAAATGAAAGATCAGCCGTTCGAACTCACTAGCTGCTCCATGGGAGAAAGATGTGGCACCTGCTTCTGTAAAGATTTCAGCTTTGGAAAGTCTATGGGGCAGTTCTACTCTGTCCTGTAGGACCACTATGAGTCGGCATTGACTCAACAGCAAAGGGTTTGTTTTTTTAACACAAAAGAGCAGTTCTACTCTGTAGCACACGTGGTTGTCATGAGTCGGAATTGGCTCAATGGCAACTAACAACAACAACTCTAACCTGAAAGTTGGTGGTTCGAGCCCACCCAGTGCACCGAGAAAGAAAGGCCTGGCTATCTGCTGTAAAGATTACAGCTAAGAAAACCCTATGAAACAGTTCTACTCTGTAACACACAGGGTCACCATGAGTAGGAATTGGCTCAACGGTAAATAGGTTTGGTTTTTTCTGAGGGAGATGTAAAGGATTTTATTTAATTTATCTAATGATAAAATCCTTTCTATTTTTTTAAAATAGATTCAGCACGTGAAGAATCCACCAGGAGGTAGATATTCTTGACATATTGCATGTTCCGCTCAACCCCTGTTCCATTCCCCAGAGGCACCATTTGCGTATCAGTGATTCCAATGTCCAACCCTACCCTGGCCCTCTTCCCCAGCCTCTCTCAGCCCTTGCTGGAATCCTGCTCCTCTCTTCTCCAGTGCCCTTATCCTCTCCCTAAATTCTTCAGATCCCATACTTCAATGGGTTTCTCTCTCTCAGAACCAGCCATTCTGATTTTCCCAAGCAGGAGGCAACAGGTAAGTGAGAAATGATAGAATCTTGGGTGCAAAGGTTAAAGTCTGACTCCTGCAACCTGGGAACTAATTTTTTTTTTTTCCTCTTGCTCATATATAGATTTCTCCAAGCCAGAAAGGACATCTCTCTTGGTGAGTTCTCCCTTTAGGAATTCCCTAAGAACTCAACTGGGAAAGTAAAAGATCCCTGGATGGCACAAATGGTTAAGCACTCAACTACTAGCTGAAAAGTTGGTGGTTCAAACCCACCTGGAGGCATCTCAGAAGAAAGGCCCGGTGATCTGCTTCCAAAAGGTCACAGCCTTTAAAACTCTGTAAAGCAGTTCTATTCTGCACACATAGGGTCGTCACGTCTGCCTCCTGGTTTGGCCCATATACTCTGGCTTCTGAGTATCTATGTTCCCAACTCACACAATAGATAGGCAGTCAGATAGCATAGTGGTTAAAAAATACGTTTTGAATTCCAGAATAGCTGGGTTCCAGCCACCAGTGTCTACTATTTACCACCTGTGTAGTCTTAGCCAAGGTTCTGGGGTGGCACAAATGGTGTGAGCTTGACTACTGACTGAAAGGTTGGCAGTTTGAACCCACCTAGCGGTGCCATGGAAGAAAGGCCTGGAGATCTGCTTCTGTAAAGATTACAGCCAAGAAAACCCTTTGGATCTCAGTTCTACTTTGTAACACATGCGGTTGCCATGAATTGGAATGGACTCAATGGCAATGGGTTATTTTATTTTATTTTTTAATGATATTTTATTGTGTTTTTGGTGAAGGTTTACAAGCAGTTTAGCTTTCATTCAACGATTTCTACACAAGTTGTTCAGTGACATTGGTGACATTCTTCACAAGGCATGAACATTCTCGTTATTTCCATTCCAGTTGTTCCATTTCCATTAATCTAGTTCCCTGCCCCCTTACATTCTCATCTTTGTTTTAAAGGAATTGTTGACCATTTGGGGTTTTTTGGTTTTGGGTAGTCTTAGACAAGTCACTAAATCCTTGTTTCCTTAATTTCCTGTCATGTCTTGTTAATTGCCCTCTAGTTGGCTCTGACTCATGGTGACTTTATGTATAAACAGAATGAAATGTTGCCCGGTCCTGTGCCATCTTCACAATCTTTGGTATGTTTGAGTTCATTATTGCAGCCACCATGTCAATCCATCTCTTGGTAGCTTTCCTTCATTTTCACTGACCCTTCATGTTACCAACCATGTTGTCCTTTTCTAGTGATTGGTCTTTCCTGATGACGTGTCCAAAGTAGGCAAGTCAAAAAGACTAGATAGGAAGCTTAGGGGCCAGGGAGTTCGTGTTAATGGAGAGGAACAGTTCGGAAAAGGAGGGTGAGAATTGTTGCACAACTTGAAGAATGTAATCAATGTCACTGAACTGTGCATGTAGAAAATGTCGAGTTGGTCTGTTTTCTGTGTCTATTCTCCACAACAAAAATAAAATAAATTATTAAAAAAAAAAAAGTAAGCGAGTCGAAATCTCACCATCCTCACATCTAAGAAACTCTTCCATATATAATGGGAATCAAAATCTTCATTTAAAAACTTGTTGTGTGAATTCAATGATAACATAAATATGAAGAGCTTATTAGTGTGTCTGAGAAATTTTAAATGTTAGATTATTGACATCAATTAACAAATTGTTAATCTGGCATATTTGAAATCTTGGATTAATGGCATCAATTAGTTGATGATAATATTATTATAATATAATGATTGTTGTTGTTGCAGGAGCCCTGGTGGCACAGAGGTTAAGCACTCAACTATTAACTAGAAGGTTGGCGGTTTGAACGCACCAGCAGCTCGGCGTGAGAAAGATGTGGCAGTCTGCTTCCATAAAGATATACTGCCTAGGAAACTCTATGTGGCAGTTCTACCTTGTCCTACAGGGTCGCTATGATTTGGAATCGACTCCATGGCAGTTGGTGATGTTGTTGTTAATTGCCGTCAAGTTGATTCCAACTCATGGCAACCCCATGTGTGTTAGAGTGGAACTGCTCTGTAGGGTTTTCAAGGCTGTGACCTTGTGGAAGCAGATTGCCAGGCCTTTCTTCTGAGGTGCCTCTGGATGGGTTCAAACTGCCAAGCTTTTGGCTAGTAGTTGAGTGCTTAACCATTTGTGCCACTCAGTTCACAGTTATGATACTATAACACTATAATTCAATATTAGGTGCCTGGTAGTTATTCTTTGTTGTAGTGATTTGTTATCATTGAGTCCATTCCAACTCATGATGACCTGTTCTTATAGGGTGATAACTCTTATTCGCAAAACCACACATTTGCATTATGTTTTATGAACACCGGTTATAAGTGATTGTGAGTAGTGGAGGCACAATGGTTAAGCACTCAGCTGCTAATCCAAAGGTCGGCAGTTCGAACCCACCCAGTGGCTCTACAGGAGAAAACCTGGCCTTCTGCTCCTGTAGAGATTACAACCTAGAAAACCCTATGGGGCAGTTCTGTTCTGTCACATGGGGTTGCCATGAGCTGGAATCGACTCGACAGCACCCAACAACAACAACAACAGTATTGTTATATTAATACTATAGTCAAAACTCTCATTCTTCCTAAAGCACAGTCGCTCTAGAACAGTGCTGTCCAGTAGAACTTTCTTTGGTGATGGAAACATCCTATGTTATGTATGCTGTTCAATACAACAGCCATGAGCCACATATGGGCTATTGTGTATCTAAAATGTGGCTAGAGCAACTGAGGACCTTAATTTAAAATATTTAATTAATCTAAAGTTAAGTAGCCACATGTGGTTAGTGGCTGCCATACCGGACAGCAAAAAACAAACCCATTGCTGAGGAGTCAATTCTGACTCCTAGTGACGCTGTAGGACAGGGTAGAGCTGCCCCATAGGGTTTCCAAAGAGCGGCTGGGGGATTCAAACTGCCGACCTTTCGATTTGCAGTCAAGCTCTTAACCACTGGACCACCAGGGCTCCACCATAGTCTTGGATGATTTGTCAGGTTTGACAGGAGGAAGTGAGAGTCGCGCAAGAAGGCCAGAAAACAAATAGGATTTTTTTTCCTATTATTCTTTTTTTGTTTGTTTAATTTTTTATTATGCATTAGGTGAAAGTTTACAGAGCAAATTAGTTTCCCATTCAATAGTTTGTACATAAAATGCTCCATGCCATTGATTTCCTTCCTCACAATGTGTCAGCACTCTCCCCATTTCCGTCCTGGGTTACCCATTTCCTTCGTCCTGGTTTTCTACTCCTTCCTGCCTTCTCATCTTTGCTTTTGGACAATGTTGCCCTTTTAATCTTGTATAATTGATTGTTCTAAGGAACACTTTCCCCTTGGGTGTTATTGTTTATTTAATGGACCGTCTATGGTTTGGCTGAAAGGTGGTCTCAGGGAATGGCTTCAGTTCCAGTTCAGAAGGGTGTCTTAGGGCCGTAGTCTCAGGGATTCCTCCAGTCTCTGTCAGACCAGTGAGTCTGGTCTTTTTTGTGAATTTGATTTTTTGTTCTACAGTTTTTCTCCCACTCTATTTGGGACCTTCTGTTGTGATCCCATTCAGAGCAGTTGGTAGTGGTAGCCAGGCACCATCTAGTTCTTCTGGTTTCGGGGTCATGTAGGCTGTGGTTCATGTAGCTCATTAGTCCTTTGGACTAATTTTTCCCTTGAGTCTTCGGTTTTCTTCACTCTCCTTTGCTCTGGACAGTAAGAGACCAATAGATGTATCTTAGATGGCTACTCACAAGCTACAAATAGGATTCAGTACTCACAGGTCCAGAGAGGAAACCACAGCACACCTCCATGCAAGACCACACAGGGGTCTGTGCCCAGGCCAAGGCAACAAGTTGGGATCCTAGGAGAGTCTTGGGTCTTGGGGTCAGTGCATACCGAAGTCTTATTGATCAATTAGGGCATTGGCTCAGGAAAAGGAGTCCCTGGGGGATGCAAATGGTCAAGTGCTCGACTACTAGTCGAAAGGTTGGCTGTTCAAACTCACCAGAGGCACCTCGGAAGACAGGTCTGGTGATGTGTTTCTGGAAGGTCACACCCTTGAAAACCCCATGGAGCAGTTATACTCTGCACACATGGGGTCTCCATAAGTCAGAATCGACTTGACAGCAACTAACAACAACAATAAGCATGGGAAAAGGGAGAAGTTTTAATCACCGGCACCCATATGGAACGTGGCCAGAAGGGGCTAGGAGTACTGGTTACCCGACGATAGCAGTGAGGTCTCTATCATGGGAAACCATATGGAGCATGGCCAGGAGGGCCAGTTAGAGCCCACAACTGCTGAGAGACTGGGTGACAAGATAGGAACTGCCGTACCAGAAACCGGGTGAAAGGGCAATTGTTGTTGTTGTTTGGTGCCACCGAGTCAGCCCCCAACTCATGGCGACCCCATGTGTGTTAGAGCAGAACTGTGCTCCATAGGGTTTTCTTGGCTGTAATCTTTATGGAAGCAGCTGTCCAGGCCTTTCTTCCATAGAGCTGCTGGGTGGGTTCACACTGCCAACCTTCGGGTTAGCAAGCCTCTTGCACCACCAGGGCAGCTAGGAGGAATTAAAGAATGCCGAGGCAAGAAGCTGTGGAAACCCGAATTGGCCTTATGACAGTCTCTTTTTCTCAAAGGCTGAAGACCCCAAGGTGAACACAAGGGCACCATGTGAAGCAGCTTATGTCCCCACCAAGGAGCCCCTAGGAGCTTGTGAATTACAACCCTGAAGGTGTAGAAGGAAGCCAGCAGGAACCACTGGAGAAGGACTTCTACGGGAAGGAGAGCCTGGATTAAGACACCTGGGGTGCCTAGGAATATGGAAACCCAGTGTTCCTCACTCATAATCCATATTAATCAAAATAATTTTCTCTCTTTTGCTTCCATGCCTCTCAAAACTTACTGGGTGGGTTTTCATGAAATTTGGAGTGTGAGTTTAGGATGATGTGACTTAAAACAAAGGCTGAGAAGCAAAGATTATGAATGGTTATCAGGGGTGGGAGGGAAGGGAAAAGGGGGAGTTTTTGTTTGTGGGGTGCTATGGATTGAATTGTGTCCCTCCAAAATATGTGTTGTAAATCGTAACCCCTACACCTGTAGTAGGAGCCCTGGTAGTACAGTGGTTAAGCACTGGGCTGCTAACCAAGAGGTCAGCAGTTCAAACCCATTAGCTGCTTTGTGGCAGTTCTACTCTGTCCTATAGGGTCGCTATCAGTGGGATTTATACCTGTGGTTATAATTCCACTTAGGAATGGGTTTTCTTTGTTATATTAATTAAGCAATATTAGTGTAGGGTATGTCTTGAGTCAATTTCTTCTAAGATATAAAAACAGCAGATAAGCAAGCAAGCAGAGATGTGGGAGGATAGATGCCAAGTCACATGAGGATCACCAAAGAGCCAAGGAACAGAAGATGAAAAGAGACAAGGACCTTCCCACAGAGCCAACAGAGGGAGAAAGCCTTCCCCCAGAGCCAGCGCCCTGAATTTGAACTTCTAACCTCCTAAACAGTGAGAAAATAAAATTCTGCTTGTTAAAGCCACCCACTTGCGGTATTTCTATTATAGCAGCACTAGAAAACTAAGACAGGGGGCATTGAGTTTATGTTAATAGTGGTGGAATACTTTGGAAAAGGCTAGAGAGAATGGTGGCACAACATGAAAAATGTAATCAACGCTATTGAATTGTAAATGTGGAGGTTGCTGTGTTGGTGAATGTTTTGGTGTGTATATTTTCACCATGAAAAAAAAAGCATAGGCTAAGAATAAAAATTTTAAAAATATGTATATAGGCTAATGGTGTTCTTAATATTAAACTCGAGGAGTTTTGGACATCAACACATAAAGACAGGAAATTGTTCTCCAGAGGAGCCCCTGTGGTTACTGACACAGTGATTTCAAGAAGGAGTACAATACAGGTAGTCTCAGGGTTACCGACCTATGGACAACTTGTACTTAAGAATGGACTGCCATAAAACCTATTGTATTAAAATTTTGAGTTAAATATGATGGTTCGTAATAAGGAACACACACATTACTTTGTAATGCTCACGAAAACACTGCACGCTTTGGAAGTGTCTCTGAAGTTTTCTATTTTTATTTATTTACTTTAATTTTTTCTCATACAAAAATTTATACACACATTGTTATGTGACTCTAATTGCTCTCCCCATACTGTGACAGCACACTCCTCCTTTCCACCCGATTCCCCATGTCCACTCAACCAGCTCCTAACCCTCTCTGCCTTCCCATCTCACCTCCAGACAGAAGCTGCCC